ACGTCACGATTTGGGAAGATTTGCATAACGCCGCCCAAATGTTGGAATCCGCCGGCCATGCCGTTCTCTAGCCCGCTGGCCTCCGCTCACTCAAGCCCGCCGTGTGTGATGCTGTGTGTATGCAGACATGGTTTTATGTTTACGCGGCGAGATGCAACGCAGTACGTAAAGAGACAGTATACGTCATTATAATCCGTAATTATGTCCCCACTGGATGCAACAAATGCCTTGTTTATAATGGGTTTTAATGTTTTTGTGTCGTCGCTCTGGCTGGGACACAGTATCACAGTATGGTAAGGGGCGTAATATTTCCGTCACACGCTTGAGGTATTCGGCCAATCACAACGCACTGGATAGCTGGCCAATCACAGCACACCTCGCTTTTCAGACCGATGAGCTTTGTAAAAATCGACGCGTTTCAGAAAGGCGGGGCATAGAGGAGAAACAATAATGTACAGTATGTGGGAAATAATGTGTTTTTTTAACCTTAAACCGCATAAACACATTTCATTACACCAAATACACAAAATAATGTTCTTTTTAGCAACATCATATGACCCCTTTAAAGTGTGAAATGGAGCTCATACTTCAACCAGGTAACTAGCATTGAAAGGATAGGGAATGTTAACGGATGGCTTTTGTCAGGTGTTGTAGACCTGTTTTCTTAGAAATGTTTAAATGAGAGCGCCATTACAGCGTTTATTGGTTAGTTAACGTTTTTCTTGACTTCACTGTTTAAGTGCATTTTCTTTTCTTTTTCTTTGTTTTTGTAGAATGTGACTGATGAAAGCAAAGCAACAGTGCTCACAGCACTGCAGAAGCAGGTGATTGAGTCCACCTCAGTTTGGTGCAGAGATATCCATTCCTCTAATAGGTCTTATTCAGTGTTCGGTCCTGCGGGAGACAAACAGGGAAACAAGTATAGTCCAAGGCCTCCAGTCATCTTCACAGGTCCTCTGTCCTCTCTCTCCCTCAGCTCTCAGTGGACCTTCCTGAGTCCTGGTGGAGGAGTTTATATGAGCTGCCAATTTAACTCAGATTCACATTCTAAAATGTTTTTCCCCTGGTCAAGAAGGAGAGGAGCAAATGAAGGGTATGAAGAAAGAAAACAAGACAAACAAGGAAATGAAAGAGGTGGTAAAGTAGTTGGGTTCACTTTTGGCCTGTATGTGATTGTAAAAACCACAGATCGCTGTTTTCAGCAAAAATGAAGATATCTGTTTCAAATGACATAATCACAGATTTGTAAGAGTGCCGACAACTTAATTGCCGATTTTATGTGAACTGAGATGAAAGTCTGGGCCAAAGCCCCTCTAAATAGTGTCTAGCAACAGTTCTATGAAGGCATATTTAATTTGGCTGTGAGAGATAGGCAGTTTATTGTATCAATGTCAATTTAATTTTTATTCGGCCTGGATATTCATGACTGTTTTGCTGTGAATGGAGCATTAATCAGCAAATCATTTAGATTTTTTTGATGTCTTTGGTGTGAAATGGCCTTGTGCTTCCATTTCCTTTTGGTCCAGTGTGCTTCCTTTCTCCATGTTTTGTCCAAAATCTAAAAAACGATCTCATGTATCCTCCGCAGATGAAGCCGTCCCAAATGTTCCTACTCCAAAAACAAGGTTAAAAACTTAAATTTGTCATTTTGAAAAACTGCATACTTCAGGACCCCTTCCCACCAACTCTAACTAACCTTGCTCCTTGTCTCTCAGCCTCAGAGGAGAACAAGGACAGGCTCTCATTCAGTGCTTAATTGGAATAGGGTGGACATTGTGTGCTCATCAGAAAAATAGATGAAGGACAGCTAGTGCAGCGAACACTTTAAGAGTAATTTTAGATATTTCCTCTCAATGAAATGATTAAAAGAGCAGAAGGACGAGTGTTTTCTGCACACTCGAATAACTGAACAGAAAGCCTGAGGGAATACAGAGGACTGGGCGCACAGTGAACCTTTTCTTTCTCATGTTCGCAGAGTCCTCTAAATCTGTGGCTCAGTTGGTTTTGCTTCAGATTTGGACATCAGGGTACCAATGTTTTTTTATTGTATTAAACTGAATTTCGATTTGTTTATGCCAGTTATTCACCTTATTGCAAGTTAGGCTGGCTGCACACTAGACGATTTTAAGCCCGATTTGCATCCCCGAACGATCGGGAGGTTGGGGGGTGTGGCCCGATTTGCGGCTTGTCGCAAACGATTTTTTGTCCCAAAAAATCCTTTATTGTGTCATTACGATTATTTATCTGCTCCCGATCGAGACGGAGCATCCCCGAACTCAAATCGTAAGTATAAAACATGTTTGATATTTACACTCTTGATCGGGCTGCCTCTGACGTGATACCCACGATAGCCAATGAGAGCGAGCAAGCATCACTTACCGGATGTTGCCTGCTTCTATAGCTGAAACTTGGCAGCCACAAACATGCCATGAAAGCAGAGAACGTCTCCCATATTCTTTTTTATACTTTGTTTTTCACTGTGAAACAGAACGCGCGCCAGGAGAGCCAGCTGACAACGTTGATTGTCCTCTATTTGTTTCTCTTCTGTAGTCACGTTTGATCTCACGAGCATCAGTAAGATCTCGTGTCACTGTGAAATTGTTCCTACAATCAACAAGTGTGTGGTCTCGCGGTCTGGTCAAATCGTTTAGTGTGTGCGTTCAGAGGATTATAAGGGTAAAAATCGGTTGAACTGCCTTCATGTCTGTGGTCTCCCATGGCTTTAAAATTATGGCTTTAGAATTGAAAATCGTCTAGTGTGCGGCCAGCCTTAATTCACTGTGGGTTGTGTTTTATTTTACCTTGTGAGGATTTGTTTGTTTTGAGGATGATGGAACATTATACACTATATGTGCATGTTGACATCTGGCTAGGCTATTGTCAGGTGAATTTGCACCAAAGAATAAGTCATGTTTGATCGGACGCACAGCCATTGACATCAATAACATGACATATATGCAGCATTTTCTCCTTCCTTTTAACTAAGTCTTTAAAGCCTAGTTAATTTGCTAACATACAGTTAGTTGCATTTTGAAATAATTAAAAAATATATTTTGCCCAATAATAAAAATGGTAATTTACTCACCCTCAAATTTGTATGATTTTGTTTGCTCTATATTCATTGTTTTTGAATCTTTGCTAATTTCCCTCTGCCACAGCTCTCACATCTCATTCAGCTTTGTGCAGATCCAAGATGCATTTAACCACATTTCTGAAAAACATTCTCTTTTTTTGTTCCACAGAAAGATGAAAATAACACATCTTGAACATGAGAGTGAGTAAATGATAAATTTTTCATTTTGCATGAACTGTCATGTTAAGATTATAAATGGTTTAATGATTTAATTTTCTTAATTTTGGCAATATAATTTTATAAATTATAATTTAACTAAATAGGTTTTACAGTGTGTCTTTGAAGGCAGTGATGTAACCCTTATCTTATTCAGTCATTTGATACAGGTCTTTGAACAAGAGTATCGGATAAAGATGAATCAATTCACTCACTCTCATCAGCTCAGGGTTTATCAGAAAAGTGCTTAAATGTAAATGTAAATATAAATATTTGTATGAGCCTCTTTGACAGTTATACAATATATGCCTTCTATTTCAGTTGAGACGAGTTCACACGAATTCAGGTTTTATGCGCTGTTTTTAAAAGGTTTATGAGGATTACTTTGCGTCTTCCTGTTGTTTGACAAGTTTGAATTTAGTCCTATGATCAGTGACACACAGCATGACTATTCATATCAATCTAAATACCTGAGTAAGTAATTAAAGCCTGTTTTGTTTCTTTCTATAGTAACAGAATCAGTTCAGTGCAAATTTGGAGTTTTGATGCAAACCCTCTTGCTAATGCAACAGGGTGTTAATTTTACACAGACCTACTGTAAATTATAAGTCTAAATTGAAAAGGAGTGATGCACAGAGATTTGAATGTGAGAGAAGGGGGGAAAGTATTGAAAACTGCAGACAACCGAAACTTTCTTTTGTTCTCAGCACTCAATTTTAAGCTCATCTGACAGATGCAGACCAAATGTAAACCTTTCGCATCTTTGTATTTAGACTACTTTAGTGCGCTCTTGAATCTATTACACATCGATCCTTGGAAATTCTACAGTATGCAACCTCCCAAACGCACACACATAAAAGGCAAGCAAATGCAAATTTAGTTTTTCTTTAATTAGAGCACAAGGCCTGAGGCACAGGGCCTATCACAAGGCACAGAGTGAATTATCAAAGGTTTACATTACCTGGGGACAGGACCCTAATTGCAGTACGTCCAAACACCTTGGTAAAAACATATCCTAGAGAAAAGGCGGAAAAAAAAAGCAATGGAACAACATTCAAAGGAATAGCCTTTGACCAAAGCTTTCAGACTAACTCAGAGGCCAAGCTTTGAGTCAGAAAATAAAGGAGGAAAAACAAGAACTGAAAACAAAACACATCCCGACCTCTACAGAAACATTCAGAGTGGTGAAAAATCAAAGAATCTGTTTCAAATCGCTCATTAGACTGCTGTCGCTGCAGTGTTAGACGTCATCCTCTCCAAGACCAGTCAACTGAATCTGTTAAAACGAATGTGGCTGTAATAAACAATACATGAAGTACAGATCAGAACAGAGGCCTTGGGGTTTCACTGCTTTTCTGCTCTGTCCCTCCAAGAAACAAAATGTTTTTCTGGGCACAAACTGATGATGGTATATGATGCTAAAGTATGGTATTATGGCTGGTTTTAAACTCGCAATGTTTTAAAACTCCAGGCATTTGTTACTTTTCACTGTGGAGGCAAAAGTGAATTGAATAATATAGCAGCAGACTCTAGAAAAAAAAAAAAAAAGTCATTCTAGGTTGTTTTCTCCACTAATGGTAATTTAATGCGTGTCATACAGTATGAGCCATTCAGTCATCATATCATGTGCTATAAAGATGATGTCTTCAAGTTAGTTGTAGAGTCGATCACCTCCTGGTTTTTCTTCATTTTTTTCCCCCTCAATGGTAGACCTCGGCAGCTCTCACTCTTCTGCTTTCACTCTCTTCAGGCCCTTTACGGATTTCCCCCACGTCTGTGGGCAGAAATAGGCGTTTATCTCAACGGGGTGCATGCATTAAGGAGAGCTAAACAGCTTTGACATGCCTGTGTCACTGACTTTCAAACCGCTTTTCAGGGGTCGCACTGCATGTGTAAAGTGATTTTTCTTTGTCTTACAAGATCAAACGTACAGTATGTTTGCAATTGCATGTGCATATTTTATATAGGCCAGCAGAAGACATTAACAAATGTGTTCCCCCATGCTGATTACTGTAACAGCATGTGGCGCGCTACAATGAGCTCCTGGTGAAAATGAGTGAAAGAATATGACAAGAATCAAAGAGTTGAAGAGTTAAAATAAAAGATAGATTACAATAGCAGCATGAGTGCAATCAACATATAACTTTTAATATATCAAAGTAAATTTCTACTGCAATATATATCTTTGTATATCAGAGACAGGTGAATTTGGTTCCAATTTGTGTTGTTCCACTGGACAACATGAAAGTGTGTCTCTAATGAAGGCAAGACATTTTGTTTATTTCAATAACGAACTTTTATATAGTCATTAGAAAATTATTTGTATTACGTGGAAAATATTTTTGTTAAAAAAATATTTCTTTTTCTGCATCTTGTATGTACTTTACATATATTTTAAAATATGTATTTTACATAAATATGTAAAATATATTTTTTCTTTCCCCACAGACACCCACAACACTACTGTTCCTCTGCAGACCCAACTTTTAAAAAATGATGCCACTCTAACATGTAGCCTCTTCCAAGGTATATATATATATATATATATATATATAAATAAAGAAAAATAATAAATAAATCAATAAAATAATAATAGGCTTGTTGTTTGACATTCCATTTCATCTCTTGTATAATCCAGTCCAGTTTGATTCACACATCTAGTCCCCATTTAGTCGGTGTACCTGCACAAAAAGGTAAAATAAAAGAAAATAAAAACAAAAAGACAAAACATAGATAATTC